ACTGAGGCGCATAGACTTTAGTCCATACACATTCACAGCACACACAAGCATGGCACAGCGACCAAAAACACACGCACACACGAGCATGGCACGGCGGCCCGACGCACACAACACAACTGCTTAATAAAGAAAAAGCACCATGACCAAACCACAATAGAATATTTATGATAAAAAGATGCATGACCTACCTTATTAAAGTGGGAAAAACACGTTTATCTTGGGACATTTTTCAGCATGGGCCTCAAGACATTTGAGTTTTTTGTCCCTTTATTTTTCTGCACCACCCTTTACTTTCACAAAGTTCGTCTTTTTATCCATTTTGTAGATCGGCTACTGACATGCTAGCAAGATTTGTTTTACTCTTTCCCCGCTTTTGGTTGCGTACTCTTGACGTGGAGCATATTACTTTGGGCAGAGGGGAGGGCCTCTGCCTTTCACGTCCTCATGCACGTCCTGCCATATCAGTTGCCAGTAGCTAGGGGGAGAAACCCCCCTATAAATATGGGCCGGCCCATCTCGTTTTTTTCCGGGTTTCTCACGTATTTTAGCTCTTTTCCCGCTGTCTTCCCGTTTTAGTATTTTCCCGTAAAATATCCCGTATTTTTACGCTCTGATTGTGTTAACTCAGAACACGCAACTATCTGTGTCTGTGAAGTGGCGGCTTGCACTTGGGTTGCTAGACCTCCAGTAAAGCAGGTGGCAGTATACAGACAGTATTAGGCTACTATCGAAGAAGAAGAAGACAGTCGCAGCGGCAAGGGCGCGAGCGCGAGGAACATAGCGAGGAAGAGGGAAAAAGAAGTGGGAAGTGAATTTGAAATGATCAAGTAGAGGAGTAGATGAGTGTGATGTGCGATGATGGATCAGGAGGACGCCGATGGACAAAATCACCGAATTAACCACCAATTCTTTGAGTTCTTTCTCACTCTGTCTCCCAACATTAAGCTAAAACACGATGTAGCAAATGAAAATGTGTAAGTAATGTTTACTTTGTTCATTCATAAAGCACTTTAAACATCTTCATTGGTCTGTAATTCTGTAATATATATTGTGTAGTTGTAAACTCTTTAGACTGTTAATGATTAGTGTTTTTTTTTTAAGTTTTTGGGTAAGAATCGTGTAAAAAAATCCCTTATTTGGGGATGGATTCCGGGAAATCTCCCTTATTTTCAATGTTCAATGTTGACAGCTATGCTATGGGTAGGTGCAGCAACGTGGTCAGCTCGGCCCAAAACAATAGAAAATCACACCGGCCCTTCTGGCATGTGCCAGAATTGCTAGATGGCCAATCCGGGCCTGATCCAGATATCATTTTCAGATGGATGATAGTCTATTCCAGGCACCTTCCTGTTACCTCATCGGGTCATCCCATCGGGAGCTTTTCAAGGAAAGTGGAAGCTTATCTAAAGAAGAGAGACAGGTAGAGACAGAAATGCCACATGTCTTGCTAACAGGATATTTTTACGGTATCTGATGGTGTCAATCTTAAGTCCCCCACTACAGATAATGGTTCCAATTTTGGGCACAATTCTCCCCTTCCGACAATCCTAGGTAAAGTCCCTATTATCTTCATGGTTCTATTGTTGACCTTTTCAGATTTTCCTGTAGTGTGACGTGTGTTACGACTACGAGTGATTGAATCTGCTTGAAATAATGTCGGGGCCACACCAATATCAAATTCTAAATATCCAACATTGAACGCTGAATATTTATGATCAGAAATCCTGTAATGTGGGGGAAACCCGGAGACAAACGCGCACACACTCTGTAGATTGTCACATGGAACAAAACGATACCCAAACAGAAAGTGACGGAAGCATCACCAGCTTCATCCATCTTTTTCTTCCCCCCCCCCCACGAATTTTCTGACAAAAACAGTCCAAACACTATTATCGCCATTTCTTCGTCCGCCATGTTTGTTTACTCTAAAGTCACGTTTGACCGCGAGAGATTTTGCAAGATTTCTCGTTTTCACAGTCGGGACTCTGGTTGTGTCAGGCGTTGTGCAGGATGCAGAAGACGAGGACAAAAGGAACTCAAAGTAAAGGCTTTAATTACAAATTTAACTTTACAGCGATGAAGGGAAACACTCCAGGACTTCAGACACACAACTATACATAGACGACGACCGACAAAGACAAACTGAACTGAAGCAAACTAAATACAGAGACTGATGAACAATAACGAGGTGAAGACAGGTGAAACAGATGATGATTAACAAGACACAGGTGACAACGATGATGACGGGCAGGTGTGTAAACATGAGGGATGCTGGGAAGTGTAGTGCAGAGACAAAGACAGACTGGTGCAGACGATGAATGTGACAGGTTGTTTGTGAATGAATCTGTTGGTGTTTACTGTGCTGTCTTGGTCACATCCCGGCACTCCACACACTATACTGTAAATCTATTTATTATTTTTTTAACGTCATGTTTGTGGCCTCTCACATTTTGAAAATCTGATAAGATTTAAAAAATCTTTAAGTGTGGGCTAGCCTTAAATGTGTAGTCCAACAAAACTTCCATTCATTCACATGAAAAATTACATATTTATCGAAAGGATAATATACCTGGAAAGAAATATCAATTAGCAGACACAGATTTCCTAGCTACAGACCTGAGTTGTACCACATTTAAACAGAGTCATCTAAGAAAAAGATTTGGTAACCTGTGAACTGTTGCATAAGTCTGTCTCCTTACTTTCACGCTAACCAGATTACACAACCATTACGATTAATGATATCTAATAATATAAGTATATTTTAACTGTTGAAGATATGTAGTGTTGCATTACGGTGCTGAAGGATGTGTATCCAGGAAAGAGGAGCTTCTTGTCACAAGTCTAAGATATTCACAATGTAGCGGACTGGCCCCATAAGGCAAAGTGAAAGACAACATATTCCCAGAATACATTTCACAGGGGTCAGCGTGCCAATTTTAGCATTGCAGCTAAAGGCAGGACTGGAATTCTGCGCAACATCGAGTCAGGGCTCATGTTATGACCGAATGAGTGCAAGAGAGGGACACTTTATGGCAGTAAAACAGAGGTACATGACGTTCCCCCTCCCTAAAATAAGCGCATGTCTGAGAGTGGTGAAAAGCTCAGTGTACACACCTCACTGCTACGACTTATGCAAAGCTTGGTTTCCTACACAAAACCACTGGAAGTTACTGTGGCACCCCTGAAGATCTATTCATTGCTAGCTGCTAAAGTGGCACCTCATTATGGGACTCCCTTATTTCCACACAGGGGGACCATTGCTGTGACTGCCCACAATGTAATATGATTAATGGGAAGTCATGCTGATAAGCCCATGAGTGTCACATTGGAGCCCTCACGCAGCCTGGCACCATCCAAGGACACCAAAAGTATCACAGGCAGTGCACTATTTTATGTGACATTCAGAGATGGCCTGTAAAAGAACCTTACTTCTGTCCAAAGTCACAAAAACTGAGTTAGTTAGTTTGTAAAATATGCTCAAATTTGACCCCAGAAAAAAAAAACAAATTTTAGAATTATGTTAAAATCTTCCCAAAAATATTTACAGAGACAGCTTATAAGGGTACAACTTGAATTTAAAGCTACGCTGTGTACTTTTTTTATGTTGATTCATAGCAAAAAACACTTTCTTTCAAAATTATTACTTCCACCAACTAATCAAGTATTCTCGTAAGCGTAGAATCTGCCATTCAGAATACATACGAGCGAATCGCTCGAATGGTGGCAGCCATGTTGCGCCTCCATCTTGAAAATACATTAGACAAAGAGGGACATACCTGGAAATTCAAGCTTCGCCTTTCGCGCTTATACAATCAGTGGCACCGTGACGAATGCGAGGGGGAGATTGCTCGCAACTGCCGGCAGATTTGAAAGCCTGTTGAAGATGTAGGATCACACCTATTCTTGAGGACATGTAACATAGTCGCCAAGGAAGCGAAAGAGAGAATTAAAACGACAACGCGACAGGCAAATCAGCAAGACCAAGGTCAATATTGGAGTGGCTTTTCCAAGATGGAAAGAGCTCATGAGGAGCAAGGATTTTAAAAGGGACGCCGGAGTTGGCTGCTTTCTTCTCGACAGGTACAATATACAGAATAGCGATAGCACTGGGAACCTGATAGCTGATGCTAACAATGAAATGGTACCAACATAACGAAAACGTAAAACTATTATTCGTTTTACATTGAGGTCATAACCTACATGTTAACTGACTAAATAACTAAATGCAATTTAAAATAGTTTTCTAAAGTAATCTCATCACTTGAAGGAACACTCATGAACAAAGTCGAACTGTAAGCCATGTTAATCTTGGAATAATACTGCCACCGTAGGAGATAAAACGCCCTCGGAATGGGAGGGGCTAGAAAGTAATATTCAGTTGGTAGTCATATACAATCTCACCGCTAGATGGGAGAAAATCTTGCAGTGTAGCTTTAAGGATACTACTTGTATGGATTTTTTTTGTAAAAGAAAAAAAAAGATTAAATATCGCTAAAAAAAGAAAACATTTTTTTAAAACAGGGCTGGTATGTGTTTTGCCTGATTACACAAACTAAGGGTAACTTTTATAATAAAACAAAAAGAGCAGAGGTCCTAAAATAGAACACTGTGGTATTCCATGAGAAATGGAACAGGTTTTTTTTTTTTTTTCATGCGTTGGTATGCCTCAGTCTCAGACAGCAATCAATGCAGTTTTTGTTTTATGGTTAGAATTAAAACCTGTGAAATTCTCGAAAATAACTAGATATTCTTGCAATTAAGTTACAACAACTTCCCATAAGGGTCCAGTCATTTCAAACTGCAATGTAAAAAGTTAGCAGTGGTACTTCATCCTAAAATGTTTAAAATGACCCTTTTAAATTACTCCACTTTTAAAGACTTAATTTTTCCAGTGGTTTAGCAGCTCCCCCATGTTCTGGAAGCACAGATGTTTTTCCTTTTTTTCTCATAGTTCTTGAAAAAAAACACTCCAAAAAGGAAAAACAATAATAATAATAATAAAGACTTGACTGCTCAGATTTTAATCTCTGATACTGTATATAAACATCATAACACATCTTACTCACATTACAAACAATCCAGGCCACAAAGTAATATTAATGATACCGTCAAACTAAAATGTTCAATGTCAACATATCATAAATGAAGATCAGCCTCTGGTGGTGAAGAAGCTGAATAAATTAGATGTAATGTGTTGAGACACTATGCAGGTTCTTGTTCACTGTTGTTGAGTTGCGCATACTCCAGAGCCGCCTGCTGAGAAAGACACAAATAAGCTTCACTGAAAGCTTGCAGAGTCACGTTCAATCAATCAATCAATCTATCTGTCTATCTATGTATCTATCTATGTATCTATCTATCTATCTATCTATCTATCTATCTATCTATCTATCTATCTATCTATCTATCTATCTATCTATCTATCTATCTATCTATCTATCTATCTATCTATCATTGTTTGTGCAAAATATAGTTTATAATTGTTCCCCTTTGGATTTTGTATGACCAGCAAATGTTCTTGTCATGCTTCATGAGTTAAACCAAATGAGATATGAGGTATTTCTTCTGTGGCGCCTATTTCTTCCACAAGAGGGCCTCCCTGTGGCAAAACTATTTGTACATACCTACATGTGGACTTGTGTGTCTGTGTCTGTGTCAACATTGTGCGTCACTTACGCCCTCAGCCTGTTCCGAAACTCCTATAAAAAACAAATGAACCACCGTCACAAAAGAGCCGCAGCGGCAAAATAGATGAATATTTAATAACTGCAGCCCAACTTCCTGAACCAACTCCCAAGGAAGAGGAGTGTGATGCCTGCCCTGGGCTTATCGTGTTAGTGCCATGCTAATGTGCCTGTGTAAGTAATCTGTTTCCCTCCAGATGTAGCTATTGTTTGGCGATATGTGGGCATGCCAAAACCCATTTCAGTGTGACCTCTGCTATGTTTCAGCATTGTTTTACACGCATACCGCAATGATTATCAAGAGGTCTCGCTAGGGAAAAGGGGCTGTGGAGTGTTTATTTGCGCTGATGAAACAATAGCCGAGTTTCTGTGTCGGTTGGGCAGAGGAACATGAGGCTCCAGGGCCCATTGTGAAAACAGGAAGCTCTTTCCCACCGGCACAGGAAATAGCCACCTGGCGTCTCATGCATGATGAAACCACACTTTCATTAACAATGTTAGTACGCAATGCAACAATGCGCCACTTTTGCTGCCTGTTATGGTCATGCTTTAAGGTGAGGGGAGTATGGAAGCTTGTTTCTGCCACATAATGAAATATAAATAAGGTAATTGCAACTCACAATTCTGACTTTTTTTCCCTCGCAATTCCGAGTGTCTCACAATTGCGAATTGCTAAAGATAAATTTTTGTTTTATTCCATGGTGGAAACAAGCCTCCATAGGGTTGTCAGGCTGTAATGTGTGTGATTCAAAGATCAGAGCTCACCTGGTGTGGACATCTGGACCTCTGTATGCTGGCCACTGTGTTCAGGCTCTATGCTTTTCTTCACAAGAACTTCTAATAGAAATATGCACATTTTTTTTTTTGTTCAGCTTCAAAATGGAAATTTCTCTTCTTTACTTATTTAATTTAAACTTTACTGTGTAGATTAGTGATTTTATAAATAGTCATGACACAAGAACTACATTTCTGGTTTTAGACAGTAGGGGAAAGAAAACACAATAATACATGCAAATAGTTAAACTAGGCATAGTGAGGACAGCTAAATAAACCCAACGTTATACTTCACTTTTCCACATTTAACTCTGTAATTTTCATCATCAGCAGAGTCCGCTGATGTCCATGCACACAGTCTTGTTGTGTCCACTTGTCTGAGTGATTGAATGCTCAAATAGATGGGTCCACTAGGGGGCTTTCATACGTGGACCCTGATGCACATCGGGGAACCAGCAGAACCTGATTTCACCCAGTGCAACATGTTCCTGGATCAACATCTCTGCTGATCCTGGAACAACATTCCGAACAACCAATCAGATTTGAGGGTTAAGCGCTTCTACATCAGTGTTATTCACCTATCATTTCCCTCTGATTTTAGGGATAACTTATGGGTAGGGTTAGGTTTAGGGGTAGGAATATGGTTAGGATTACATTTTCAGACAGGAATGTTGTGCCAGGATCAAAAAAATATGTTGACCGAGGAATGCGACTGACTCAGCAAAATCAGGATGTGTGGGGGACCAAACCCCGAGACTAGGGACCAATGACCAAACCTGTAGGAGGTGGTCTGAGTTGCTACCGATCTACAATCAGATTTCTGTCTTGAGATACATCCTGAATCATAAGCACACCGTGTTCGTTCGCTGGCCAGAGGAGAACTGGCCTTCCAAATGAGTCTGGTTTCTCCTAAGGTTTTTTCCACCTCTATTTCGGTCACCTGATGGAGTTTTGGTTCGTTGCCATTGTCGCCTCTGGCTTGCTTAGTTGGGGACACTTAATATTCAACAACATTACTGATTTAACTGCACTGCCACTATTGGATGTAAACTGAACTGAGCTGGATGATGATGACCACTGTTTTCTGCAGAACTGCTTTACATGTGAAATGAACTAATTTAATGATTGATGATCTTTACAATGGAATTGAATCAACACTGAACTGACTTCAGCTGACTATTTTCTTTCAAAGCTGCTGTATAGTCGAAATGAACTCTGTTTCCATCATTGAATCACTTTCCTGTTATCACTGCAAAGCTGCTTTGAAACAATCTGTATAGTATATAAATAAAAATGACTTGACTTGACTTCCCTAGTAGGCAAAAAACAGTATGTGACAAAAGAAGTAAGTGGTACTACTTCTTCCGGCGAGATTCTGAAGCATACGATGGAGACTTACTATCCCATGAGGCCACAGGAGACGCTGGTAGGTCACATGATAATGACAACATGGCGGATGTTGTACGTCCAGATAACATTCATACCACACACATACTTTTTTAGCGCAAGTAATTATTTATTCAAAATAAGTACGTACTCAAGAGAGTATGGGATTTTAGAATCAGCCTAGGACTCAGGTGCCCACTTGTTCAGGAAGCAAAGTCAAGTCAAGTCAAGTCAAATATATTTATATAGCGCTTTTCACAATACAGATTGTATCAAAGCTGCTTCGCAGTATCAATCAAAACAACTTAAACAACTTAACAGTGTTTGTTTATTACTGGAAAAAGACATCCAAGTTTGGTAGAGCTGATCAGTGGTATGATGGGTCATTTAATTTGAATATCCCCAACTGAGCAAGCCAAAGGCAACAGTGGCAAGGAACCGAAAAACTCCATCAAGTGACCCGATGGTGTCCTAAAACTCCATCAGCTTCGGAGCTAAATGTGAAAATGCTCTCCCTCCTTTGGTGGATCTGGACATCCTAGGAATGACCAGAAGCCTCGAATTTAGTGATCTTAAAGAGCGCGATGGATTATAGGGTGATAGAAGATCCGTTAAATAGACTGGAGCTAAACCATTCAGAGCAAAGTAACCTGGGCATGCATTTTAGTCGATGTCATTAGTTCAACCAAACTCATGTAAGGGATGACAGTGGTGATGATTTACCTGTGTAATCGCACATAGCGAGTGCAACCAGAGCAGCAAACGAATGGCTCGCAATTCACTGTTTCCTCAAAAGAGTCAGTTTGCAAGCAGCAGAAAGCTGCCTTCATGCGACACACATACAGTAGACGCAAGTGTCCTTTGTGTAAGATGAACGCAAATGCACCAGGGTTCAATACAAAAGTGTGTACTTGGAACAAACGCATTTGGATTCGGACTGCAGCAAATGTGCCCAGTGTGAAAACCCCAAAGTCCATTCGCACTTGGTGTTCAGTGAAAAAAAAAAAAAAAGAGTAGAGCTTATCGACTTTTTAAAAAGAAATTGTGCATTCAATCGATCTCTATTTTTTGGAATAGATTATTAGAAACAAAATAGATCATATGTAGGCCTATGGTTAGTTTTTGAAATGCTACCTTTACAAATCTGTATTCAATTGACATATTTTGTAATATTAACAGTAATACATTTATTTAATTTTAAGGGTCTCATAATACTGGTACCTGTGTTCAATTTCTTTGAATTTATCTGTAAATTACTATTCCAATTAGTTTTCCTGTGGGCCGTGGTCAATTCAATTTCAATGCAAATCAGGGTTATTATAGTTAACAAAAACCATATAAGAATAAGTTTAACTTCATTTACAAACAATGACAAAAGCAACAAAATTACTAAACTAAAAGATTTATTTAAAGGAGCTGTATGTAAGATTGTGGCCAAAACTAGTACCGCAATCACTGTCAAATTACTGTAGTATCCAGTATCCCCTCCCCCTCCTCCCTAACTCGAGGTTGCCAGATCTAGCTGCAGGATCCAGCAGGAACGTGACGAGCTGCAGCTGTGGTAACTAGAGCAGAGCTGGCAACCCGGATGCCGCAACACTACTGACTTCGTGATTGGTAGATAGGTGGAGGGTGGAGCATCAGACCAAAACACAACATGACAACATCAACATCAGTTGAGGGCTGCAACTGCACTTTTTAAATGACAATATCCTGGCCAGACTACTGTTGTCAGTGATATAAGTATTTGAAATGTACATGATTTCTTAATGTCTAGTGACATTTCAGCGCCATTTTATGATTAATTGAAATACATTTCTTACATACAGCTCCTTTAATAGTCCTATATAGAACTGATAGATCTTTTTTTTTTTTTTTTTTTGCAATGATTCCATTTGAGGGATTCGTTGACATTCTTGAATCTCACCTTTGCTGGGATCCACTTCCTGTGGGTGAACCAACTCAGAGTCCACGTCGGTATGATCGTCAGAATCTAGTTTGATAGCAAGCAGACATTGTCATGAGATGAACTCACATCACATAGGCCTCATCCTGTTTAAAGTCTGTACCTGAGCCAGATGCATTTTCACTCCAGACATTCCTGCCCATCACACAAGGAGTGCCTGTAGGCAGAAACAAACAAGATATGACCTCAACATTCGGTGTCAGGAAAAAAAAAAAGTGATGAAATGCAATTTTCAATATGACTTTGGTAATCAAAATACAATTCAGCCATTATAATAATATAACCTAACGCAACACGCAAAGATACTATATGACGTAACGATCTCCATATCACTGTATGCATGTACCAAACTCCACAAGAACTACACTGGTAATAATAAAATCATAAGTTCATCCACCAAGAAAAAACACTGTTTTATTTTTCCACTCTATTTTAACAAGTATATCATCAAAGGCCATTTTTTTTTAAATGAGAAAAGCTAGAAATATCCACTTCAGAAGCACATTCATCTGATTTATATAACATTTTATACCTAACATATATATATATATATATATTTATTTATTTATTTTTATTTTTTCTGGCTGTTGACAGTACTTTCTGATTTATGCTGTGATACATTCAAAAACCTTTAAGTATGTCATATGTAATTATGTAATTAGATAATGTCTAATTTGCACACAGCAAAAACTCCAGTGTTAAATTAACTCTCCTGGGAGTTTATTTGGCTCCAGACTCAAGAGTGTTAAAGTTAATGAGCTAATTATGTGATTAATTGAATGATAATTGACCATCATTGAAGACACCTGATATTAACAAGCAGAATCACTGAAGAAGAAAATCTCATTTGCGAAGTCACCATAATGGTGATCATTAATAGGCTTTAATAGGCCTCTTGACCCTTAAACTATTAACATTAGATTTAGTTTGGCTGTTGTAACCGAGTTACAACTGTCAGATGAACTAAGAGAAAAGGTGATCAGGTGGTGTTGATTATGGTTTGACATAATCATCGCTTGACCAGAATCACAAAACTCATTTAGAGCATTACGTTTACTTTGTTGATTACAGCAACACTATAGTTCTATAGCAAGCATTTTTCAGCACTTTCAATATAATCCAAAATATTTCGTAAAATTAGTTCTGATCAAAAGATTTTGAAAAAATATTTTATTTAGACACACTGACATCAATAATCAGCCTGTGAATCTCAACAATGGTGACAATAATAAAGCATATTGAAATGCATTATGGGCTCCACCAATCAAAACTCATTCATGGCTCCCATCATGCATTGCAGTATGAATAAATTATGATCTGAAATATTTTAGTAATTTCCTTTTCCTAATTGTTTGTCACCATTGTTGAGATTCATACACTGATTCTTGATGTCTGTGAGTGCCTAAAAGAAAGGTTTTTTTTTTTTTTTTATCAGAACAACTTTTAAGAAAGAATTTGAAGTGAATAATTTTTTTTGGATCTTACACTGTAGAATCACTGTGATGCTGTAATCAACAATATACATTTAAGTCAGAGATTACGCTCTACATTAGTTCAGTGATTCAGGTCAACTGTTGATTTTGTTAAAACATAACCAACACCATCAGATCATCTTTTCTCTTTGTTCATCTGGCAGTTATAACTCAGATACAACAGCGAAACAATATCTAAAGTATAAAATGTAAGGGTTAACTTCCCAACTGAAGCAAACACCGATCTCCATAATGGTGACTTAAAATTGTGATTTTTCACCTTCAGTGATTCTACTTGTTAATATCAGGTGTCTTCAATGTTGGTCTATCATCGCTCAATTAATCACTTAATTAGCTCATTCACTTTAACACTGCTTCAGTGTTAATTTAACACTCTTTAGTGTGGAGTCATATAAACTCCCAGGAGAGTTAATTTAACACTGGAGTTTTTGCTGTGCATATACAAACATAACATCCCAAAACGATTGTCTAAATATACTGTGACTAATAAACTAGGGAAAGTATGGTAATATCTATTAGTTTTTAGCCTATTCACATGTGGCGCCTTGCCTTAAATACACAGCAGCTTCAAAAATAGCCAATCACAATATTAATATTAATATTAATATTGATATGACAAGAATAAGGACATTTTCTACCATTGAGAATGGTGTTGTCTTCAATGTCGAGAGTGAGGCTGATTCTCATAGGGTCACCTGATTTGGGCCTTGAAGGTTTACTGAGACAAAAAGCATTTTCAAACAGAATGAAGAAACATTCAAATTATGATATAAGACGTATGAACTGTAGATGTTAAATTGAAATTAAGTGGCGTCTTACACTGATAACTCAGTTGCTTGCTTTTTTCTGCGTGGATTTGGCATTTTCTTCAAAAAGACTGTCAGGACTATGACGATAGCCACCAAAAGCAAGATACAAAACACTCCAATAAGAGCTTTCTTCCACACCGCTAAACTGACTATAAAACACACACAAAATCAGAAAGAACCTGTGAACATCTTTACCAACATCTTCTGTAAACATTGCCACTTTTATGCCAGAAACATACTCTACATGAGTATACAAGCAGGGCCTAAAACACACTTTTTGTCACACCTGCCAATAACCGCTGACTTAAGAAAATTTACCGGGCATAAATATTTTTTACCGGCCATGTTTCTGCAAAAACAGCAGTTATGATAACAAAATTTGATTATACATAATTCTCTATTCCAAAACAACTAGCCTAACTAATATAAATTTAAAACATTGAGACAAGTAACTTTTCAGGTAGAGACATTGAACAATGTGCACTGCATAAATGAAACAGATTAATCCTTAAATTAAAGTTACAAAAGTTATTCAGTCAAGAGCAGAGAGTGATTTTTTTTCTTTCTCCTTTGTTGTTTTATTAACATTAAAAAATAAAAAACATTTAGATAATTTTGTGTGATTTTCTCTATTCAAGCACAAGCAGATGTAAAAGAGAGTTCAATTCAGCATTCGAGCGCTGTCTGAAAAGCGAGTGACAAATTGAGTTTCCTTTCGCGTCTTCTTGCGCTTTAATATTTAAATTTGCAAGGCTTACAATTTCGTGACGTTGCAGCACTGGCCCGTCAACTTTCCAGAGCGTCGTTCACGTTTGTTCACGTTCATGTTCTCACAACATTGCATTGATAGAATTCATAAAAATGTTGCTGCATTAACTGACTGCTTTCTTTAACTTTCATCTGCGTAGAGTAAGTGTAATAATTCAAAAAAATTATATTTCAAAACAGAGAAGTTCTACTATGGCATATCAGGGTGATCAAATGTTGTGTTGGTGTGGTATTTAAAAATGTACCTCCAATCCTGGCTGGATAACTACTTTTAATTTCAGTGTTGTAATTGGACGCCTCACAGTAGTAGTCGCCTCGCTGGACTCGTTCTATGGTTACGATGATATAACGTCCTTCTAAGGATCTGACTTTTTGGCTGGATAAAGGGAGCCTGTTGTGATACCAGGTAAAGGTGATTGGGTAAGTGCCCTTCTGTACACGGCAGGTGAGGGTGAGGTCTGAGCCCTCTGTGACTGTAACGTCCTGTGGCTCCAGGACTGGCTTGGACACTGGTACTGATAGACAGACAGAGAAATACCAGCGACTTTAGTCAAGAATAGTAAGAGACAATAATACTATAGCCCATTCATTTTCTGAAGACATCTTTCAGTCATTAATAACTGGAAATCGCCTGCCCTGTCGCAACTTTATATCCCATTCAATGTGTCAATGAGTCAATGTCATGTCAAATTTGTATCTGAATGTGAACAGGAATGAGATTTCTGATTTCGACTTCTGTTATTTAAAACAATTTTATGACTTAAGAAGAAATAGAGAATGAGTTTAATGGACCACTTTTTCACTGTAAGTAGAAAAACCAACGCCATCTCACGACCAATTTGTACGAATTCGTACGAGTGATTAAAAGGTGGCTAATTCGTACTAATTCATACGACCTCACTCGTACGAATTCGTACGATTTGTCTAAACCCACGTGATGGGTAGGTTTAGGGGCGGGGTCAGGGGTAGGCCATTCGTACGAATTCATACGAATTTGGTAACTCGTAAAATATGTACGAATTAGCAAAAATCGTATGAATTAGTACGAATTAGCCACCTCGTAAAATTCGTACGAATTGCCGTGAGATCGGGCTGAGAAAAACTGATAATATCGCGGCAGAAAATTACCAGTACATTTTCTGTCAAGTTTCCAGACATTTCCTTCAACCCTAAAGCACAACATAATGCAATGTGTTACGATTTGCGTGGAAGCAAAGGCAGTAGGCGGATCTAAATGCAGCAGTAGACTTTAATAATACAAACTAGGGAAAACTCAGAACAGGCAAGACACTCGAAAATACATACATTCATTCAATAACTGACCAAGAACAAAAGAGCAGACAGGATTAAATACACAGACGGGATGAGGGAACAAGACACAGCTGGGGCAAATCAGAACACAGGTGAATAAACTGAACACTAACAAGGAGCGGGAAAACTGGGAACAGGACTGAACCAAATACACAATGACGGGGAAAACTCAGGGAAACAGATACAGAACAGACATAACTATAACATTATCCCCCCCTTCCATAAGGCGTGTCCCCGCGCCGAATAAACATCAAATAGGGGCGGGAGGGTGGGCGCCCTGGAGGCTGACGAGGGCGTGGCTTGCCCGGAACAGGAAGCCTCCAGGGCGGAGCAGGACGTGACGGCGGCCAGGGCGGAGCAGGATGAGGCGAAGGCCAGGGCGGAGCATGACGTGGTAAAGGCCAGGGTGGAGCATGGCGTGGCGAAGGCCAGGGTGGAGCATGGCGTGGCAAAGGCCAGGGTGGAGCATGGCGTGGCAAAGGCCAGGGCGGAGCACGATGAGATGGTGGCCAGGTCGGAGCAGACTCAGACGAGGATGAGGACCATGTCGACGTCGTCTCCATGGCCCTCACGGAGTACCTTCTGCCCCCCCCCAAAAAATACTTGGGGAAATCCTCGGGAGGAACCTCCAGGTGGTAAAAGGGTTCCGGGCAGGCCTCCCGGAGCTTGAAGGGCGCAGGCAGGGCGAGGCGCAGAGGCGGGGCCGGCAGGGCGAGGCGCAGAGGCGGGGCCGGCAGGGCGAGGCGCAGAGGCGGGGCCGGCAGGGCGAGGCGCAGAGGCGGGGCCGGCAGGGCGAGGAGTCACTTGACTCGGTAGACTCACTTGACTCGGTAGACTCACTTGACTCGGTAGACTCACTTGACTCGGTAGACTCACTTGACTCGGTAGACTCACTTGACTCGGTAGACTCACTTGACTCGGTAGACTCACTTGACTCGGTAGACTCACTTGACTCGGTAGACTCACTTGACTCGGTAGACTCACTTGACTCGGTAGACTCACTTGACTCGGTAGACTCACTTGACTCGGTAGACTCACTTGACTCGGTAGGCTCACTTGACTCGGTAGGCTCACTTGACTCGGTAGGCTCACTTGACTCGGTAGCACTTGACTCGGTAGCACTTGACTCGGTAGCACTTGACTCGGTAGCACTTGACTCGGTAGCACTTGACTCGGTAGCACTTGACTCGGTAGCACTTGACTCGGTAGCACTTGACTCACTTGACTCGGCGGCACTTGACTCACTTGACTCGGCGGCACTTGACTCACTTGACTCGGGTTCGTCGAGGCTGAAGCGACGTGCGGGTTCGGAAGACAGAAGCTCAGCCTCAGGCATGTCGGTCTCGGCAGGAAGAAGCTCAGGCATGTCGGTCTCGGCAGGAAGAAGCTCAGGCATGTCGTGGAAAGCGGGCTCGACTCGGTTCATGTGAAGCGCAGGCTTGTGGAGCGTGGTCTCGGCTGAGCAGCTGAAGGGAAGCGCGGGCGCGACCGGGCTGACGCTAAGCGCAGGCTCTCGCAGCTTCTCCTCCACGCCCACAGTAAACGGGGAACCGCTCCACAACAGGGCCAGGTCAACGTACCATTCTAAAGATCCGTGAGGACCAGGTTCGGGCATCAGAGACCGGAGTGGTTCCGATAATCCTCCGCGGAAGAAGATCTTCAGGCCGTGGGTGTTCATTTGCGCGAGATATGCCAGCTCGAGGAATTCTGCTACATAATCCTCGATGGCGCGATTCTCCTGGCGAAGACGGAGGATCTGGACATCAGGACTCCAGGTAGGCATGGCTGCTAGATCCTAGTGGGCCAGTTATTCTGTTACGATTTGCGTGGAAGCAAAGGCAGTAGGCGGATCTAAATGCAGCAGTAGACTTTAATAATACAAACTAGGGAAAACTCAGAACAGGCAAGACACTCGAAAATACATACATTCATTCAATAACTGACCAAGAACAAAAGAGCAGACAGGATTAAATACACAGACGGGATGAGGGAACAAGACACAGCTGGGGCAAATCAGAACACAGGTGAATAAACTGAACACTAACAAGGAGCGGGAAAACTGGGAACAGGACTGAACCAAATACACAATGACGGGGAAAACTCAAGGAAACAGATACAGAACAGACATAACTATAACACAATGTGTAATTCAAAATAAAGGTAAAAGTCAATATGGAAAATGTCGTCATATTAACTGTAACACGGTTGTCACGTTCATGTCTTGTTTAATTATTTTGTTCTGTTTGTTTTCATTGTCTCCTGAGTTCTAGTTCTTTCACTAGTTGTCATGGCGTCTGATTAGTTCACACCTGTTCCCTGTTCCATTGATTTTCATTCCATGTGTATTTAAGCCGTCAGTTTCCTTCAGTTATGTGTCTTGCGTTAGTGTTAATGGTGGTTGTGTTTTCTCTGAGTGTTTATTAAATCTATCAAATTTATTTAAAATGACAATCGTCATCCTCTGTCATGCATCTCTTATTTGTGTTTATTACACGTTAACCGTGACAACAGTGCATTGGGCCATATTGTAATGCCTTTTCTTAATGTGTGTGTGTGTGTGCGAATAAATAATGACAGAATATTTATTTTTATGTGAACTACCCGTTTAAAAACTTCATAAACTTGTGTTTTGACAATAGGCAGATTTCACATGCATTCATAATGTTTGTTTCTCTGACACTGATTAATTCATTACTTTGGACGAGTCTCCAGATTTTAAACTTGGTAAAAGAAAACAAAATGAGATACACCGAACCATACAATAAACGTATGAAATATGTAAATATGAAATGCTGATAAAATAGATAAAACACAAAAATGCTAGTGAGGAGGACATTTTTGCTAATTTATTGTTATTAATTTATTAGTGCTGATTAACTGTTATCATAATTCAAAAAGGAATTGATGTTGGTGTTTTACTGCCACTCTTGTTTATTTCAGCTGGAAACTGCAGTGAATTGTATGCATAAGTAACTTTTTAGAGTTTAAAAGAATGTAGATAGAGGCAAAAAAATCGACAAACTTTGAATGTTGTCTTGAAAAGCTTTTGTCTGTGCAGAACAGGAATACAATGAATGTAACAGTCATCAAGAATGGTACCGCACACAAAAGTCCATCAGTGATTATGGCATCTAAAAATGGCAACATGCACTTCCAAATTATTCAAAAAATAGCAGCAACGTTAGGCACACAAATCAAGATGTCAGGCTTTGGTCCTCTTACCTATGACTTCTGCTGTAAGGGGTTGACTGGTGCTACTGATCGATGGCCCCTGGTTTTGAGCCTGACATGTGAAGCTGTAGATCTCTTCTGGAGAACTGATGGAGTTAATGCTGAAGAGTGCCTTGTCAGCAGCCTCATCCACTCTCCTCTCAGCCATTGACACGCGGGCCTTCAGTAAGGTGTATGTTATTGGAAGCGTTCCATTCTCAGCCTCACACGAAACCTTGAATGGCCGACCAACAATCACCTTATCAACGACACGGATGACTGGGGCAGAAACAGGCACTGGAAAAAAAAAGAGGGGAGGAAAATGAGAAGCATGCAAAAACATTAAGTTGCCTATTCACTAAAGTGTGTTCTTGCAATGCAACCTATCAATTGAATTAAATATATCTGCTTCATATTCCAAGCAGTCAGCTCTTCACTTTTAAAAATAAAGGGGTTTTATTTGCATTGATCGGTCCATGAAGAACCTTTAACATCCATGGAAACTGAAAGGTGTGTGACTATATGATTAGTTCTCTACAGTTCTCTAGTTCATCAAACATATTTTGTTATTACTAAGTTATAACATGTTATAACATAGTAATAATGTAAAATGCTTTAGTAAAAGCATGAACTCTTCACCTTTAGCTTTTAAATGGAGTTGTTGGCTGGTCTTGTTAACTCCTTTAGCCACTGCCATACAGGAGTATTTCCCATTGGTGGCCAGGCTCGCAGTGGCAAAGTAGTCGGCACCTGAATAAATGTGCCGATCTTCTTTCAGCAACGCATACTTTATGTCCGCTTTTTTGATCTTCTCCGAGGAGCGTACAGCACTGCGGCAGGACAGAGTGAAGCGTTCCCCTTCGAAAACCTGATCTGGGCTCATTCTCAAAATCGGCTTCGAGAACAGTTCTAAAGAGTGAACATGGAGTCAGAATTGTTTTGTTTATTATCAAGCAGTGGAGGGTTATTATATTTCATAAAATTTGGTAATTACAAAAAATTAAAAATAAATAAATAACAAAAACAAAAACCGAAATACAAATGACCAAAAACTATATATAAATTTATTTATTTTTTAATGACAAAAAAAAAAAAAAAAACACACAACAAAATTACTAAAACTAACTACAATTAAAATGAAAACAGAAAATAAAAACATTCAAAATATGAATAAAATCTATAATTAAATCTCAATGGACCGGTGCAGTGTTATTTATTTTACATGTTGTGTATTATAATGCATCATTACTTTCTTGGCTAAATAAAATGTATTATTTGTTCATTAATAAAGTAATTAATTGTGTTCTGATAAACAAATCAGCATGCACAGAACTCTGTAATGTGTGTCAAATATTTGTTAATGGTAAAAATGTTTAACATTCCAATTTCCATTTCAACGTGATATTCCAATTTTCGCTGCGATTTCGATGCATAAGTGACATTATTGAAATAAAAAGGCAAACTTAGTGGACTCTTGATAGCTGAAAGCATTCTAAGATTAGTCAAAATGTGTGTGTTTGTGGTTAGTTACCTGTGACATTTAGCTTATAGACGGTCTTCTTTTGCACGCTGCCTTTCTCTGCTTTACACACATAGTCCCCTGAATCCTCAGCTCTTACTGTGAGGCTGTATGCGAACGTTGACTGAGATTGACGAAGTACGGTGTTGCCTTTGGTAAGGAACAACTCGAGATCTGAGGAATATTGCACCCGACATGTGATCTGCACCCTGTCTCCCTCAACAACATTCGCGTTGGGGGAGATGCTTATTTGCGGCCTGATCACATCAAGATCTGTAAAAAGAAAGAAAAAAAAGATCAATCTCGCTGTCGATGCAAAATATAATCAGCTGTGGATATGCTCTATAAAGACCACATGAAATGACTAGCTTAGCTGTATTTTCTTGTTTTGTTATGGGGTTGAGAGGCGTTATAATTTTAGGGGCATTATAACGTTACATTTTATTAGACTAAAATGTACATAATCCATGAGTGAGAGATAATCCAAGATAATTCAATAATTTTGATATTAATGACCAGCATTTACACTGCCATTCAAAAGTTTAGGCTCTGTAATATTGTTAACGTTTCTTAAAGAAGCTTCTTGTGCTCAGCAAGGCTGCATTTATTTGATCAACTTTTGATCATTTTACTGCATCCTTGGTGAATGAAAGTATTAATTTCTTTAAAAAAACAAAGCATGGATCTTAAAAGGTTGATACACAAAAAAAAATACATTTCTGTCTTAATTACCCTCATCTCGTTCCAAACCAGTAAGACCTTCGTTCATCTTTAGAACACAAATGAATATATTTTTTATGAAATCCGAGAGGTTTCTGACCCCTCCATAGACCCCTCCTTTTCAAGGCCCAGAAAGGTAGTAAAGACATTGTTAAAATTGTTCATGTGACTACAGTAGTTCAACCTTAATATTATGAAGCAATGAGAATACTTTTTGTGCGCAAAAACAAAACAAAAATAACGACTTTATTCAACAATTTGAAGAGTTTGGTTCCAAAACGCAATAAATCCATTTAGATTAATTTGAGTAAAAATGTGTTTTCTTTACCAAGAAAGTGGAAAGATGAAAACCACTATTTTCTGTTTCAAACTTTCACATAGCATTTGTAGGTCATAATAAAAAATAAAAAATAAAATCCAGGTTTTGATTTTCAAATATTTATTATAAAAACGGATTATTTTTTCCCCCAAAATGCTATAAATCCATTTTTTTTAACTAAATGCAATTAATCCATTGAATCAATATAAAAGTTTTTTTTAATATATTGAAATTGTTGAAAATACACAACAACGTAAGTTTATTAGTATAATATTTTTATTAAGAACTGTAAAGAAGATTGAAAACATTTTTCCTCCTCCCGAGTGCCTCATCTTCTTAATCTCCTCACGTAAATGATTCGATTTCGATGCCTTGCGTTTCTTACCCACCGCAGAAACAACCACAGGTTCATCAATGCCGTCAAAATATTTCTTTTTTTTGTTTGTTTGTTGATCGAAAAGTACAAAATAGATAAGAAAAACTAGGAAGCCGGGTGTATTTAAGGCGCTGCCGTTACTGTTTACATTGCGTGGAATGGTGCGTTGTGATTGGTTGAGAGCGGATATATCGCATTCTGCAGAGAAGGGAGACTGGGCGTTTGTCGCGGTTTGGAAAGAAAGGGAGAAAACATGACAGAATAACACGGCGGATATCGCATTTTACTTAAAATTAAACATTGACTTTTCAATACCAACTAGACACAATACTGATTTTTGCAGTAACTAATTTTTTTTTAAAATTGCGTTTATCGCGTTTTGGAACCAAACTCTTCATATTACGTGTTCAGTCGATTCATAGCATTAAGGTTGAACCACTGTAGTCACATGGACTATTTTAACAATGTCTTTACTACCTTTCTGGGCCTTGAAAGTTGCAATGATGTTGCTGCCTATGGAGGAACCGGAAAGCTCTTGGATTTCATCAAACATATCTCAATTTGTGTAATTAAGATAAACGATTTTACGGGTTTGGAACGACATCAGGGTGGGTAAATAATTACAGAATTTTCATTTTTGGGGGAACTAACCCTAAATAATTTTGAGTGTAGCCAACAATTTTGATTTCATGGGGTCTTTAGACCAAGTTTCTTTGACCAAGCAAATGTTACCTTGCACAATCACTTTCACAGTGTTGCTTTTGTTGGAGAAGCCCGCATCAGGATGCATGAGATATATATAGACACAGTGCAGGTAGACGTCTGTGAGCTTCTGCATGGCAAGAGTGGTCGTCACAGAGTTGCTCTTGCTAGAGACTCGCTTGACCTCCTGATCGTCCTCGTAGAAATAGAAGTTCAGACCGCCCGTCTCCTCTGGTGCAAAGCATGTGGCACTGATGTCTTCACCCTCAGAAATGATATCAGACTTCACCTTCAGCATGGGGACTTGAAGGCCTGCATGGGTATACAGACTCTTTAAAACCAGCTATTTTAACAGGGGTGTGTAGACTTTTATATCCACTGTAATCAGACAGCAACAGCTGCTAAAAATTGAATTAGTAGAATTATGCTTTGATAAGCATCAGTTATGTTAGGCTACTGACCTGTGACTCTGAGTGTCTGACTGGTGCTTGTCTTGGTCTTGTCGTAGATGCGGACATCGCACTGGTAGCGACCCGAGTTGAACACCCTGGCTGGAGATAAACTGCGCTCCACCACTGAGGCGCTGGTATTTTTGGAGTACATGACCTGATCGTCCTGCAGGAACCTGAAGCTGTATGTCAGCGGCTGCGGGAGGCTGTGACTGACCTTGGCTTCGCAACGCAAGGTCAGGTTAGTGCCACTCGCCACATTATTACCAGGAAGCACAGTCAACGTCACCTGATCAATGGTGAATGCTGCTCAGAAAGACCCAGAGATAAAACACACATTCACACATTTGTTTCACTATATTAGAGAGGACATTGCAAATACTTCCATTGATTTTATGTCAAAATATCTACCACTAAACCTACACCCATCATAGAAACAAAACACTAGATTTAAATAAAAACACGTTTGGGCCAATTTATAAGCCTTTTTAATTAATGAGGACAAGTAAAATGCCCTCACTTGTCGCTTGTCATGATGTTTTATTAAATAAGTGAGGACATTTGGCCCTCACAAGTATAGCCAAACCTGTACACAAAGACATTCCATATTTCATAAATCAAAAACGTAAAAATAAAGCAACATAGTGTCGGCCCAGGTCCGGCCCACATCTGGTATATGTGGATTCCACACGGCCCAGATGTGGGCTGGATCAGGGCCGACAATATGTTGCTATCTGGGACAGAATATAAGATCATAAAAAAAAAAGTTCATTATATTTACAATCTAACCAATTTTGGGAGTCAAAATAGCAGAAAAAAAATAAATAAAGTGACAGAATATGTTGTTGACTTAACTGAATTTTGTATAAATAATTATAAAATCTTATATAATAATATAATCTTAATGACATTTTTAAATACATAATAAATATTAATATCATATTAATACAATTTTAATAATTTTGTAAATAATCATGACACATCCTTGTGTTTTTGAAAGCTGCATTATAAATTTAAAAATATTCAATAAATATATATATTATTATACAATAATTTTACACATTTATTATGGACAATTCGTCGTCAGCAGTGCTACACAATAGATGGCTATTTAAAAGTAATCATACAAAGCTTTTAAACCTTCTGTTTGGAGAGATCATACAAATGTATTGCACTCTCAAAAACACTTGTTGGGTCTGAGATCATTTTAGTTAATTTTAGTTAAATCTGCTGTGAATTCTGCCAACTTCGTCACACGTTTATAGTGTCTTTAAGGTAATCATATAAAATATATTTAATCAGTAAAATATAATTTAATGTAATTTATATTGAAACTTGTATGTAATATATTGAAATAAATCTGTAATCACACATTGTTGCATGGTAAAATATATAAAATATATTAACTATAAATGTAATATTGAATAACACACTAAAGTTAAAATCATAATCAAGTACTTTAAATGTGCTTTGGTCAACACATCAACATAAGTTCTTTAAAGGACGACAAAATATTATTGAAACATAATGATTTAAGTAAAACTTTTAATTACTAAGTGTATGTTTTAAAAGCCCATTTGAGTGTGTTAAGAAAGTCATGAAAGTGTCTCTCTTTAAGTGCACTTAAGTGCCTTTTATTTCAGTAATATTATATTAAATGCAAGTACAGGTTTTAAAATATTCTTTTAAGATTTGAAGAACACTACAATCTATTAAGTGCACTTATTTTACACAAGGGGTGAACTCTGGGATTGTCTTCTCAGTGAAGGGTAAATCAATGCACCAGTACAGTCCCGTTCTTACATTGTGCGCACCCTTCGGTTTACAAAAAAAAAAAAAAAAAAGGCCATCAGATGCCACTTCTAAAGAGTCATCCTCTCGGTATGTTTACTTTGAGCAGAACACCGTCAGCTCTTTTCCTGAAGTCTTAAAGAAGGCCACACTGAGAAGTGTGGAGAGCAGCGGCGTTCCCAACAGAAAAAGGAGGAAGGAAGGAAAGCACATAAACAAACACAAAACATCATTCCCTGAGGAGCACAGACCCTGTCATTTCTGGCGCACAACTCTCAGCCCGGCCAACAAAACAACAAGTTCTCTGCTGTACACGTCAGCCCATAAACACCGCTAAAATCTGGAAAAACAAGGATAATCCGAACCCAGAGGGTTGATTAGAAAGCGACAGTGTTTGTGTGTTGGAATCTGCATCACTGATCTTGTTTGAGCCTCTAATTAAACGCAGACTAAACATCTTGCTATTATGCGAAGCGCAAACTTCCTCTGAACGGCTAAACAGTCCGTGACAAAACATCTCTGAAGGATCAAAGCATCCGAGCGAATCACAGATCTGACTCTGGCTAAAAATACATCCGAGAAGTCCCAGAAAAGCACAGAACTGTCATGATATTTCACTGCTCCCTTTGCCCGACTATATAAATCAAGCGGTCAGGTGAATCTGAGAGAGGTAAAAATAACTCAACAGCCTCCAAAAACCGTTTCCCTCGCATGCAAATAAAACTGAACTGAGGACTTACCTGCCTGTGTGTCGGCCGCTTGCCCTGTAGATGAGAGCAAAAGTGAGAAAGAGGTGAGACAAATGAATAAAAAAGAGTATGAGATGGTCTGAATCAGTCCGGAGTGTCCTTACACAGAGCGCTCAGGCCGAGCCAGAGAAGACACACGCTCATCTTCACAGGTGAGTGTTCATGAATGTGAAGGACGCCGAGGATGGAGAGAAGGGGCAGAATGCTCGCACTTATCACGTGGAACCGCCTTTCTTTGTTTAACGTGGATCAGGAAACGTGTTCCTTCCTCAGGATGTGTGTTTTTGAAATGCTTCGTTCGTCCAGGCCCTTGAAAACATTGCCATTCTGTTTACGGTCTCAAAGGCCTCCTGTTTCAGTGCTGTGCTGAAGACATCACAGCGACATATGAGATTAAGAAGATGATGAACGGTGTGGCATCCGTCCAGCACAAACACCAAAAGTACCATGGTAGCACCTCCTTGGGCTTTTTTGCCCATGGTACCATGATATCAAATTTCTTGGTAACTATGGTTGTACCGTGTATTCATTGGACATTTTTAGATATTACTATGGTTTTGAACACACATTTTTTCGCCATGTAACAGAATACAATGATGTTTTTTCAAGTGGTGCTCACTGCAGAGCCAAATGATGTCTATCTCCCCCTCTCTGAGCGTAATGAGTGGAGCTCAATCAAGTCAAGCTCCACCTCTCTGGACATTATGGGTGGAGTTATGTTTAGCAATAGGGTTATTATGGGTAGGGTTAGAGTGTGGTTGAACTGTCGAGCTCTACCAATTTGTTCTGCTGTGAACAGCCTCTCTATTTTTGGACATGCACCATGATAATTAGTTCCATATTTTTGGGCATGGTAACTCCATGTTTTTGGCCGGTGTTATTTTACTATTATGCATATTAAAGTACTGAAACTAATAGTTTTTATTTTTACACTTTCAGTTTTCATTTTTATTTCAGTTCAAGTTTTAGTCATTTCTTTTATGTGTGTTAAGTAATTTTCTATTTAGCTTGCATTTATTTTAGTTTTAGTTTTAGTAGTAGGCTAGTTTCACTTAAAACTTGTTTTATTTCAGTTAGTATGGAAGAATTAATTGGACTTTAATATTTGTAACCCACAGAAGACAATCTACAAATGTGTACAATGATGCGCAAATATTTCACTATCTGCAAATGTGTATATTTACATTTGTGATACGTAAAATCATATCCACAAAAATACAGGGTGATGTGTACAACACAAAACTGTTTTTACACATTTGCAAATTACTTCCTGTGAATTTGTGGGTCATGCTACATTTGTAAGTTCCTTTTTACACATTTGTTGAATTTTGTCCAATGTGTACTGCAGAGATCTGTAAATAAACATATACACAAATATCTCACAACCTAAAACATGTATTTTTACATTTGTGTTGTGTAAAATCATATTCACAAAAATAATATGTGATTTGTAAATACACACAATTTAATCTGTACAAATATCTTTTTATTTCACATACAAAGTGTGATCCATTTCTACACACAAAACTGTTTTTACGCATTTGTCTATTTTTGTCCACTTTGTCCCGCTGCGATCTGCAAAAAAGAGATTTGTAAGGCGTACGGGTCCGTGTAACGCTTCACAATTCAATTTTCAGACCATACAATGCAAATACAAAAATGAAAAATTGAAACCAGGCGTAAATTTTTTCATTTTTTCCAGTTATATTATAGCTGGGTAGTAGGAGGAGAGCGCTTGGCTTCTGGGATGCGACTACCACCAATCAGAGCATACATGGATGACATGACAACCATGACTACAACAGTAGCCTGCACTAATCGGTTATTGGGGAAGTTAACAGATAATATTGAATGGGCACGAATGAAATTTAAGCCCTCTAAATCAAGGAGCATCTCGATAGTTAAAGGAAAGGTAGTAGATAAAACATTCTTCATTAATGGTGAGGCAATACCAACAGTTTCTGAGAAGCCAGTGAAGAGTCTTGGGAGATGGTACGATGGGGATCTAAAGGACACAGTTCGGGTGGGAGAAGTTAGACGACAAGCAGTGGAAGGGTTGAAGAGCATAAACAGCTGTGCTCTACCTGGTAAACTAAAACTCTGGTGCTTTCAGTTTGGTCTACTGCCGAGGTTGCTGTGGCCACTGACCGTGTACGAGGTTTCTTTGACAACAGTGGAGAAGCTGGAAGCGTTGGTAAGTTCATACATCAGGAAATGGTTGGGAGTTCCACGCTGCCTCAGCAGAGTAGGACTTTATAGTAAAGGAATATTGCAGCTGCCAGTCTCTGCTTTAACCGAGGAGTTCAAGTGTGCCAAGGTCAGACTGGAAATGACCTTAGTAGAGTCACGCGACAAATGTGTAAGGGAGGCAGCCCCTGTGTTAAAAACTGGTAGAAAGTGGTCAGCAAAGAAATCTGTAGTAGAGGCAAAGGCTGCCCTTCAAATTAGGGATATCGTGGGACAGGTACAGCATGGAAGAGGGGGTTTTGGGCTCAGTTTAGCTCCTCCTAAATGGCACAAGGCAGGCCCAGCTCAAAGGAGGAAGCTGGTAGTCAACGAGGTGCGACAGCAGGAGGAGAGGATGAGGTGTATAAAGGCCATTTTACAGGCCAAGCAGGGAGAGTGGATGAGATGGGAGAGTGTGGAACAACGTAAGATGGGCTGGCAAGACCTTTGGTCAATGGAAGAGAGTAGGATCAGTTTCCTTATTAGGTCAACATATGATGTTCTCCCATCACCGCAGAACCTAAACCTCTGGGTAGGAGAGGATCCCTCTTGTCCTTTGTGTTCATCACCTGCCACATTAAGGCACATTTTGACTGGATGTAAGGTGGCTCTTAGCCAAGGTCGGTTTACTTGGCGCCATGACCAAGTACTGCGATGTTTGGCTTTAGCATTAGAAGGCAAGCGTAACATGACCAATAAGTTGCCACCTGTTCTAGCAAAACATTACACGCAGAAGACAATATTCCTCCGCCCAGGCGAGCAACCACCAAGAAAAGGTGTTAACACCAATTCTCGCCCAGGACAACTGGAAGCTGCTAGGGACTGGAAGATGCTGGCTGATCTTGACCAACGGCTTATTTTTCCACCTGAGATTGCCACCACTAACCTACGACCAGATATTGTTTTGTGGTCTGGATCAGCACGCATTGTTCAACTGATAGAGTTAACAGTGCCATGGGAGGATGCGGTAGATGAGGCATATGAGAGGAAGAAACTGCGGTATGCTCATCTGGCCACTGAAGCAGAACAGCGAGGATGGAGAGTCCAGGTTTATCCAGTGGAAGTGGGTTGTCGAGGTTTTGTGGCACACTCTACAACCCGGTTCCTCAGAGACGTCGGATTCAGTGGCCAAGAGTTGCGTCGCACAGTAAAGAACTTATCTGAAGCAGCAGAAAGGAGCAGCAACTGGCTGTGGTTGAGACGGAAAGATTCTAGCTGGCTGTGTACAGGCCGCCACGCTACGGTTTCGTAGAGTTCTTGAAAACTTGAAGAGTCTGTTGGTTTATTTGTATACGTTCCTGTGGATATTGCGTGAATGACGGGTGGTTGGGTAGATATTGTGTTTTGCGGTAGGTGGTATGCCATACGGAACCGTTGTCCACTGAAACTGCATATTAACGCACCAGTGGGGCTCGACAGCCTTAGTCAACGGGTTGGCGCGTATGGTTGGGTCGCGGAGAGATTGTGATATTGCGGTTAGGTCTCAGCAGCAGGAGGGATGTAGAGGTCAGTAAGCTGGGCTGAGTTGAGTGGGGGACGGAGGGGGGTGACTCTGGGACGCCAGAGTCACTGTCGAGCCCTCTTGAGGTGTCGTGGGCTAGTCGACGAAACACTGAGGACGGAAGGTGCCCACTTGAAGACCCTAGAGATGTCCCCTACTCGGTTCAATCCAGACGGTTGTCGTGCTGGTCCTGTAGTTGCAGCCGTCGCGTGCGCTAACGCGCCAAGTACACTGCTGCCGTTAACGCCGGACAGAAGGGGAGTCACACTACCTTATGGAAAGAAGCGTAAATGGATGGAGAAGCATAGTTTACTGTAAAGCTACGTCTTAGTTTTGCTTATCTTGGCGAAAGCCGAGTACAAATCAGCATGAAGTTTTAACATCTACTCTCGTGTAATGGAAATCATCAATGCAAAATTACATTTTCTCCGCTCTTCTTTGCTTTTTTACGTCTTCTAAATTGTCACTTTAAATTCGTAAAAAAAAAAAAAAAAAAAAAAGAGTTTCGTTCTAGTCAAGGTGCATTTTTCAATTTGCAAGGTAGATGGGCGAGTCTATTATCATTGAGGAGGGGGGGGGGGGGGGGGGGGGGGGAGGGGGGGGGCACCGGGGCAGAACGGAAGTGGATGGTGTACTGTAGGTAATCGCGAGACCATTAGTGTTCTTCTTAAGCAAGTCGTTCGACGCGCAATAAATATGGATGACCTGTTGCAGTTCAGCTTGCATCATGGTGCTAAACGGCTGACTATGATGGCCAGAGATATTTCTCGGGATCGGCTGGAATCTATTTTTAAGGTAACGTTAACGTTATTACTACACATTTTTAGTAAACCTTGCCAGCTAGAATAGCTATCAGGCCAATAGCCAGTCGCTAAGATTGTATCCTTAGTTTTAGATGGAGCCGGAGAGCATATATATGGAGGATGACATAACAAGGGAAACCTATTTCCCAAACCCAAACGGCATGTTTCAGACCGATATAATGCGTCACCGAGGATCATTTGCTGTATGTGGCACTATTAAAGAACACACCACCGCGGCCGCCATGACACCAAGCGCTGGCCCAGGTCCTGGGATTTCTCCTCAATGCCACAGTGCACCTTTTAGGCCAAGAGGGCACGTTAGCAATCCAGGTAACACTTTCCAGAACCCGCTGAAGCGCACAAGATCAGCAAGGAAACAGATTTATGTTGCCGACATTGAAGACAATGGGAAGATTTCACCATACAGTAAGTGTATTATTTTCTGGGAAATAAATCTTGTAATGTTTGAATTTTAATGTCCTTTAAGCAGTTGCAATGATTGATAGTAGTGTTGTTGTTGTTGTTGTTGTTGTTTCTCACAGCCACCGTGCACGTTACAATCTCAGAGGGTCAGGGTGTGCAACTCGTGGGGCAAACTGTACAAGAATACTTTAATTCTGCTGACTGTTACACCATCTGTGACGTCAAGGGTCTTGCAATAGCAGATACCTCTGAGACAAAAGGTAATACAACA